CAACCAAACCATCCAACTTCTCAGCTGACCTTTCACTATAAGCTTGGCATCTGGACTCCTTCTTCACTCTGGATCACTGAGACTCATTTCCAACAGAGATCCATGAATTGGATCTGAGGAATGGTCTTGCAGGGTGCCTGGACACACTAACAGTCTGTGTTTACACCCCTGGTATGTGTGGGCATCAACCCAGGGGTGCTCTGAAGTGAATCCTGGTGGACCTGTCAACTTACCTCCCTCCTTACCTTCACAGGGACCCCGCCCAGGGATTGTTTCTCTTTTTCCAGAAAATTTATCACCAATATTTAAATTTTTAAATGGAAAAGAATAAGTATTTCCACTATTATGCCATGCATACTTTTGAGTGACACTATTGAAGGCTATCTCAGGAGTTGAAAGACTGAAAATGGTAAAGTCACTTCTTGAAGGCTTGGAAGGTGTCTTTGTTCCTTTCAGCTGCTAACAAGATACCGTAGCTGGGGGATTTAACAATAAACATTTATTTCTCTCAGTTCTGGAGGCTGGGGAATCTAAGCTCAAGTTCAAGCAGATCCAGTCTCTGATGAAAGCCTTATTCTTGGTTTTCAGATGGCTGTCTTCTTGCTGTGTCCTCACATGGTGGTGGTGGGGTAGGTATAGAGGGGGAGACAGGCAGAGAGCCTGGGAGAGGAGGCTCTCTGGCTTCTTCGTATAAGGTTACTAATCCCACCACGGACTCCACTTGCATGACCTAATCACCTCCTTAAAGTCCCACTTCCAAACACCATCACACTGGGGGGATAGGATTTTAACATATGAATTCTGGGGTGGGGTGGGGGACACAGACATTTAGTGCATAACAGAAGGGAAAGACTAAGGATCATTATAACTATTACCCTAAAGCTTTCAGATGGGGACCACCAACCAACATTCCAGATCACACTCAGGTTCTGTCCAAGGGCCCTCTCATTCACAGTTCTTCATTGTCCATCCTTCAGCGTCCAGAGCTGATGGGACTCAGTACACCTCCAGCAGTGGGTTCCCAGTGACTTTCCCTTTGAGGTCACAAAGCACCTGTCACAATGGCTCCCAGAATCACAGTTAGCCGTGGCAGGAAATAATCATGGGCATTAACCAAGAGCCTTGGGTTTTTCTCAGGGTGGGGAGGATGTGGAGAGGTGCTTCCAAAAATATTCAAATAGGCCCTAACCTTGAGGCTATGAACACCACCTTGAAAGCATTTTTCCTCTGGTGACAGCAGTTTGTGATTATATCTATTGCATTTTCCTTTGATAGAAATACTCCTCATGGTGGTAGTCCTGAGGCACCTAGAAAAGGCTTTTTGTACACATGGTACAAAAAACATCTAACTAATGGAGTTGATTATTTTTAAGGAAAAAGTTGTTTTTGAGGTCGTTGCCTTTCATGTTATTATTCATTCCTATTTTTCAGTGGTGAAATGTATGGATTGGGTATTTGCCAAAACCACTTGTTGGTGGCAAAGAGGCTGGACTTTATTTTATAATAAAGTGTCAAGCGTTTTTAAGTCTAAACTTTTTAAAAGATTTATTTATTTATTTTAAAGACACAGACAGAGAGAGAGAGAGGGAGTACGTTCACGAACGAGTTGGTGGAAGGGCAGAGGGAGAGAGAATCTCAAGCAGATTCCCCACTGAGCATGGAGGGTGGGGTGGCTCGATCGAATGATCCTGAACTAAGCATGTGTTCAACATCACACTGATGTCTCAGACTCAAGAGTCGAAATCAAGAGTTGGACACTACTTAACCGACTGAGGCACCCAGGCGCCCCATAAACTTCTGATTTAAGTACTTTTGTGGGCACCGTAGTAGGTTATAGGTTTCTGATCAAGGGTCACAAAGTGAAGCAAAATCTAGACCTGCAGAATCAACTGGTCAAGGCATTGGATTTGAAAGGAGAAGTAAGTTGTTGGTTTGTTAAAGACAATTTACTGATTCCCCCCTGCCCTGTATAAAAAGGAAGAAAACATTGAAAATCCTGTTGTGGATCTTCTGGCGCTCCTGATATCTAAAGAGAGGAGAGTGTAAGGTACAGCCACTCAAAGCCACAGACCCAGCATGGCGGCCCCACCACCAGGGGGCAGCACGTGGCTGACCTTGGCTGAAACACTGCTTTGCAGGTCTGTCCATCTGGAGGCAGGCGGTGTATTTTCATACAAAAATCACACACACATGGCCTCAAATTGGATTTAAGTGTGAAGGACAGAATTAATATATATACTATTGTAGAAATTTAAAACTATTAATCAACAGATTTAGAATTAGTAGCAAATCCAAAGGAAATATTAATACCCCATTTCAGTCACTCTGAGATGGGTGTAATTCACACTTCCCAGGACCTTTAGCATAATTTCTTTACTGGCTTAAAATACATAGAAAATGAGGGACGCCTGGGTGGCTCAGTCGTTAAGCATCTGCCTTCGGCTCAGGTCATGATCCCAGGGTCATGGGATCGAGCCCTGCATCGGGCTCCCTGCTAGGCGGGAAGCCTGTTTCTCCCTCTCCTACTCCCCCTGCTTTTGTTCCCTCTCTCGCTGTGTCTCTCTGTCAAATAAATAAATAAAAATCTTTAAAAAAAATAAAACATACCTTCCCTTGGGCTTTAAAAAAAATAAAATAAAATACATAGAAAATGAAAAGCAGTTAAAAACCCTCCAAGACTGAGTCTAAAAAAGATTACTTTCTGTATTTTCTTTTCCTACTATCATGTGGGTCTTTTATTTACCACTTAAATGCAGCTTTGTGGACCCTAAGAAAAAAGCTGAAAGTCCTGCAAAAGAAACAAAGCCTTTTTGATAGCAGATGAGTCGACAACCACACACCCAAACACACTTCCAGGCACAGTTTTGTTGAGGTTAGCGTTCATTGTCCCCAGAATGTATGGCCACCTCTAGATCAGACATCCCATTAGCAACACAACTGTTGACCTGTTCACCCATGGCACAGAGCAGACCCAGTGACTGAACGGACGTCAAGTTCTTTACAGATTACAGAAGGTCCCAGATAAGAGAAGGAGGAACAGTGGGGCTCAAGGGACAGCCACCAGCCAGGGTGATGGGCTGTACCAGGGACATCTGTCTGGGCACAAGCGTCCTCACTCACGTTCTCCTGGTCCACACGAAGTCCTCTTGGGCCCAGCACCAAAACTTCTTCATTGTCACCCAGTACTCTGCCAGAGGGACCTGTCTGCTCCATTGGTGGACTTAAGCTGTCAGGTTCTAAGCTCGTCTTTCCTGCTGCAGATGTTTGGCAAACATCATCCCTACGCCATTCACCTACGCTAGGAGATTAGACACACGTGAGGTTGCCAGGGCGGAGGGTAGGTGTAGGTGTAAGCTCGGCCGCCAAGAGGAAGGGAACAGGCGGGAGGCATGAGGCAGGGGAGGGGGGGCGGGCAGCACAGGTGTGTACAAATACCAGGCACTGTGCTTCGTGCACGTGCGCAACTCAGGGGTGTGAAACCGTGTGTGTGTGTGCGTGTGTGCCAAGAGCAGACGTCCACTCGGGCTGCTCCAGGTCGGTGGGGGCAGGTTGTAAGGTGGGAGCTCTGCATGGGCATCAGAAAGAATGGACAGGGTACATTCACGGCTCCGGTAACCAAAATCATTGGCCGGTAGGATTGTAAAACCGTACAGCTTATGTGGGACACCGGTTGGAAATTTCTAATGTTAAGTGTGCACTCATTCTGTGATTCAGCAGCTTCGCTCCTTTGTAGGTATCCAAAAGAAATGAAAGCTTCTGTCCACGAAATGCTCACCAGGGCTCATAGTGACTTTATTCATAGTAGCCCCAAACAAGAAACAATCCGACTGTCAGTTAACAGGAAAATGGATACACAAATTGTGGTGCAGTCACAGAACGGAATACCGCTCAGTGGTAAAAAAAAGTTGTAAACTGACGCAAGATTGTACATATTATGAGATTCCATTTGTATGAAGTTTAAGAATAGACAGACTAAATCTCAAGTGAGCTGTACGATAGCTGCTTTGGGGGGTGGGGGGTGTGCTAGGGAGGGCAGGAGGGCCCTCTTAGGGGTGATGAGATGTTCTGTGTCTTGATCATGGTGGTGGGGGTGGTAACCGGGGAGGATACATTTATGAAAAGTCATTCCACTGTATGTGGAATTATAATTCCAATTTAATTATAAAATTAAATTTTATTGTGCATAAAATACACCTCAACCAAATTAACTTTATTAAAAAACACTTGTTTGGAGGCAAAATTCCTTAGGTAACCATAGAGCGGTCACAGCTGTTCATGGAATTTGCAGATCTGAGCCACTTCACAGGTCTGGAAGCCCTCGGCTAAAGGTGAGCCAAGCCCCCTTGAGAAAAGATCCTGCGTATTACCCTGGTCATCTCTTGTAAATCCCCTCCAGACTTCCCCCAAGGGTCTGTGACCTTTCCCAAGGGTGGCTGTGCCCTGGGACAAAAAGACTTGTTCTGGCAAGGAAACGTCTATTCCCATCTAATCATCAGGGGACAGGAATACCTTCATCATTCAGGGTACTCGGCATTGGCTCTGAGTTGTCACCGATTTGGGGGACCTGAAAATACCATGGTGGCCCTCTAGTCAAGGCGGAGGCTTGTGGAGGTCAGAGGACAAGAAAAGTTTTGTCCCAAGCATGGATATCCATGGGACTGGTGGGTCTGTGGGCCTGACCTGTGTGTGTTTCTCATGCGTAGTTGGAAGAGTTCCATTTGGCAGCGGGCAGGGGTCCCATGTCGGCTTTCCTGCCTTGAAGTGAATGCTTTTTTGGTAGGAAGTGGGATGAAGGTGAAAGTTCCGGAATTTCCCCCTGCCTACTATGATAGTAAATCAAGGGTAATGAATCGTCCATTCTGGGGGCATCTCAGAGATTAGTGCTGCTATCAGGGACTTGAGAGGTTTAAGGGAGGAGGTTCCTAAGATAGCCCTTGACCCTCGCCTGTTTGACCTACACGGAAGATGTGGGCATGCTGCCGGAAGGCAGTGGGTCACGGTCAACTTACAACTGACAGGTCCCTTCGCTTGCCGCTGCTGCTGAAACGCCTTTTCTGGGCACTGGTGGGAGACTTTGGTTCTCTGCGTCGATCTGTAAGAACCACCAGAAATAGTTTGCGCCTGTCCAGAAGTGCCAACAGGTGCTCTCTCCTCCTGCCGGTTTTCCTGCTCTCTGCCATAATAAACCTGGCAGAGATGCCACAGAACACCGTACCGGACCTCATTACTGACCTCATTATGCTGATTGCATCTGCCTCAGTAAGACACGGACCTGGGAGAAAAAGCTCCACAAATATTCAGGGCCCTGCCACCTTGGTGAAGTTCGGGGGACCGTATAGCACTTTTCAGGACACCCCATCAAAGTGAAAAATACATCATTTTACCTAAAAAAAGAAGCATGACACTTGCTGAGATGTTTGGATTTTGAAGGCAACCTATGTGCTCTTTGGGTGTGCTTTCCCAACGCATTTATTTACCAAGGAATGAGTAAGGCCTCCATTTGTGAGTGGGACCCCCTGGGCCTCATCCCCTAATGGACCCCGTGGTGATCAAGTGTTCACGGCCAACAGCAATGCTGTAGAGAACCCCAGTGGGCGAATCATAGCACAGACTCTAGGGCTCTGGAACAAAGCCATGACCTCTGCTGCATATAACTACTCTCCTTTCTAAGAAACAGCCTCTGGAATACTGCTGGTCCTTGTAGGGATGGCACAGCTGACCAGCGGACATCAACTGACTCCGTAATCCTCAGCTGCCCATCATGGACTGGGCGCGATCTGACCCGCCCACCTATAAAGTCAAGCACATACAGTTGTAACCTGTCATCTAGCAGAGATGGTACCTAAGAGGCTGTGATCGAGAAACCCCAGAAGGCACATGTCACTTGCTTGAGCAGGTGGCTCAGACCCTGTGACATGTTCTCTTGGTTCTTGCCTCCTCTCCCTCAATCTATGCCTCATGGGCAGTTCCTTAGGACCATATGGCTGAGCAGGCCTGCTTCCAGATGGTTCTCTGGGATGTGCTGGTTCCAGCTGAGAGCAGGCTATAAGAGATACACCCCGCCGCCCCCCGAGTCTGGAGGAGTGTCCTTGAAAGACGGTGGAGAAGGGAAATCATCCTAGTGGACGAGACTTGAGCAGAACAAATGTTTTTCACTTTTCTGGGCTGAAATACAGCCAGAAGAATTAACCTATCCTCGTAAGTCTTAACAGGGGATGATCCTCCTGTCCCCAACTTGAGGACATTGGCCATGTTGGGAGGACATTTTTGATTGTCACATCCGGGTGGAGGGCACGACTGGCATCTGGTGGTCGAGGTCAGCCAGGGATGTTGCTAAACATCTTACAACGTACACAGACCAGTTCCCTTCAGAAAAGAATTATGGGACCCCAAATGTCATTAATGGCACTGACCTATACTGGGGAAAATACTTTGATTGGTCAGGAACTGGGAAGGAACAAGATTCAGAGACTGGTGACAAGGTGGTATGGGGACAAAGGGAAGACGTCTGTTGATGGCTTTCTCAAAATGTGCATAGAGCATGAAGATACTTGTGCCCTGTGTTTATGCTCATTAAAGGTACCCTGTGCCGAGAAGACTGTTAAGAATCAGGTGAACATGATATGAGGAATTCTTAATCGCAGGAAACAAACTGAGGGTTGCTGGAGTGGGGGGTGGGGTGGGAGGGATGGGGTGACTGGGTGATAGACACT